CTTGCGGATTGCTTTCTCAAATATGTAGGACCTCGTCGATTCGGGTCCAACAACGCACCTACTCGTGTTCGTGCGATTTCAACATCTCCAAACAACAATTCGCCCTTAGACTCTTTGCTTTTCGAGCCCATGAGCTACGTAAGGCTAGCAAGTCATTACCTAGCTCATCAAGAGAGTCATCCAGGGATTTTAAAGGTAAGGTTGTGCAACTTAAGGATGCACAGTCTGAAATGAAACCAATCAAGTTATATCATAAGTTTGGCTCTGACTCTAGTTTGTTTGTTTGTTGTACGAGTTATCCAGGTTCCCGTTCGATGGTTTCAAAAAAAAAGTTGGAACAGGAAGTTATGATGGTGTTGGTAAAGAAAGCAGGTGAGTCTTCTTCTTCTTGCCCTCCAACTATTGAAAGACTTTTCTCTGAGTTTAAGGATCTGCAAACTGAGCCTTCTGGAATCACGAAATGTGCTATTAAGCACACCATTGAGATTATTCCGGGTAGTAAGATTCCCAAGGGCCCTATCTATTGAATGTCTCCCAGGGAACTTAAGGAACTGAAGAAACAACTGCAGGACCTTACTGACAAGGGATGGATTCACCCTAGCTCATCTCCCTATAGTGGACCTGTCTTGTTTGTGCCGAAAAAGGAAGGTGAACTGCGTCTTTGCATTGACTATCGAGGGTTGAATGTCGTCACTGTCAAGAACGCCGAACCGCTTCTTCACATTGACGACTTAGTTGATCAACTGCGGGGTTGTAAGTATTTCAGTAAGATTGATCTGAAGTCAGGGTACCATCGGATTGAGGTGGAACGTACGGATCAACATAAGACTGCATTCCGGACAAGGTATGGCCATCACGAGTTCATGGTAATGCCTTTCGAATTGACAAATGCCCCTGCGACGTTCCAACGATCAATAAATGAATTGTTTCGTGAATGGCTGGATCAGTTCGTTATTGTCTATCTTGATGATATTCTCGTGTATAGTAAAACCTTAGAGGACCACGAAAAACATCTCCGTCTAGTATTAGAGAAGTTGCGAGAGGTAAACTTCAAGATAAATCCAAAGAAGTCCGAGTTCGCTAAGTCTGTAGTCTTATACTTAGGACATATAGTGAACGAAGAAGGCCTCAGACCAGAAGAAAAGAAGATGTCAACAGTTCGAGATTGGCCACGACCTAAGTCTGTAACTGTACTACGATTTTTCCTTGGTTTGGCAAGTTATTATAGAAAGTTCGTCAGGAACTTCTCATTGATCGCCGCACCAATGAGGAGATTGTTGAAGAAAGGAAATATCTGGTTGTAGGACAAAGACTGTGAGTCTTCCTTTAAGAAGATAAAGTATGCTTTGACTCGCTATCCTGTTCTGAAAATTGTTGATCCATCACTTCCCTTCATTGTCACTACTGATGCAAGTCAGTACGGAATTGGCGCAATCCTTCAACAAAACGACGATGGTTATAGACCAATTGAGTTAATGTCTGCACGATTGCCATCGGAAAAAGTTGCCAACTCCACTTATGAAAGGGAATTGTATGCTTTAGTCTGTGTGTTGGACACATGAAAGCATTACTTGTTAGGGAGACATTTCACTGTGTACTCAGACCAGTCTACTCTGAAGTGGATAAAGACACAGCCTAGGCTCTCTGATAAGTTAGTACGATGGTCTGCATTCATTGATACTTTTGATTTTGAGTTAAAAACTATCAAAGGGAAGTCTAATATGGTTGCAAACGCGTTGTGAATACGTTGTGATTTCTTTGGTACCATTGTCTCTTACTTGGACGTTGGGAGTGATCTGAAAGATAAAATTCATCAAGGATATGCTACTGATCCTATTTGGAAACCTATCATGGATGTCCTTGCGAAAGATCCATCTCTACTTCCTAACTATAGAGTGACCGACGGTTTGCTTTTTTTGTTAGACCAAACTGAACAAAGATTGTGTATTCCTCATTGGGAAGAAATCAAAAGTTTATTGATTGGGGGAAGTCACGACACTGAAGGACATTTTGGTTTCAAGAAAACCTACGCTGAGGTTAGAGAACGCTTTGAGTGGAAGGGATTGAAGGAAGACGTACTAACTTATGTTCGTACATGTCTGGTGTGTCAGAGAAACAAACCTTCACACGAGAATCCACTTGGTCTTCTGAAACCATTACCGATTCCCAACGAACCAGGTGAGTCTATCTCAATTGATTTTATGAGCCTCACCAAAAGTCGGAACGACAATAGTCAAGTAATGGTTGTTGTGGATCGTTTCTCTAAATATGCCATGTTTAATCACTCACCCGCAGAAGCAAGAACTGAACTTGTGATCCAAAAGTTTCGGATGCGATGGGTGACTGAGTATGGTTTTCCTCTCTCCATTGTATCTGATCGTGATGCCAGGTTCACAAGAATGTCATGGAAAAAGCTTATGGAAGCATACGGTACTCGACTGACCATGTCGTGAGGGTGACACCCTGAAACGAATGGACAAAGTGAACAGATGAACCGTTTGTGCCAGCAACTTTTGTGCATGTATGTTAGACCCGATCAGATTGATTGGGATGAGAACTTACCCAAGATAGCAAGTGTATACAATAGTAGTGTTAATACCTCTACAGGGCGTACGCCTAATGCACTGCACAAGGGGTGGAAACCTAAGCGTCCCATTGATGTGTTAACACGGGAGCAGTTCCTTAGGTTACCTCCAGGGTCCCGGGAATATGCAGTATTGTTTCAAGAAGACATTCAGAAAGTAAAGAACAATTTAAAGAAAGCTCATGACAAAATGATTGAACAAGCTAACAAGCATCGCCGACCCTCAACATTCAAGGAAGGTGATCTAGTCTGGGTCAAGTCCAAAGAGTTTTCATTGGAAGAAAATGTGTCTCAGAAACTTCTGCCCATCTATTTTGGACCCTGGGAAGTTCTCAAAGTAATTGGGGATGCGGAGGGACTGTCTTATCGAATTGATATTCCCCCTCACCTCAAAACGTATCCCGTCTTTCACGTGTCTAAATTGTTACCCTATGTAGAAGAAACGAGTTTCCACACAAACCTTCTATAATTCCACCAGACATGGACGACGGATATGAGGTAGATAGAATCATAGACCATGGGTACTTTTCTACAGGAGGACGTGGACGACCCCAGAAGCAGTTCAAGGTAAGTTTCAAATCTCAAGTACCATCTGAGGACAGATGGTTCAATAAACGAGAATTACTTGAAACTGCTCCTGATATTGTGTCTGCATATGAACGTGGGTTAAAGTCTTAATTATTTATGCGATGGAACTCGAAAATGGGTTAGCAAGAATGCAGTAACCGTGTTCTGCAGCAGTTTGGGCCCTCGAAACGGAGCCCAGACGACTCAGGCCAAACTCGGCCTGAGTCGGGCAGTGTGACCACGCACTGCTTCGGAAAGTCAAAAGTCTAAGTCAATTGTCAAAGGTACCACGCCCAGGCGCTGGGTCGAATACATTCACTTGTTGTGCACAGGTCCTCGAACAACATCAAGACCACAGGGAGTTCGGTTTCACGCAAATCTGGGCCGCCATTTGTCTTGAGATCTCGATGGCCTAGGGAAGCAGCAACAGGGGTCCAGACCCCGCATCATCGCTACATAAGCCTTGACTACCTGGCTGAGAGAACATTCTGTCTTGCGTCAATGTTGACTTCATGCGTTGACTTCGACGCTAGTACGACGCTGCGATACTAGTTGGGACGCTGGCACTTGAGCGACTACGGCAACGCGCTGCTGGGTCGGCATGGTGGCTGGCTGGCAATTGTCTTCTGGGCATGCTGACGTGGCAGCTGCCACGCGCCACCGCTGACGTGGCTGCTGCCACATGTACTCTTGCTGATGTGGCAGGCTACGTGTTTGATATTGTTGTTCTGATTCACGGAAGGAGATCAAGACTGTGGGGCGATTGTAGATACATACCTGGTCTTTCGATGTCGACATTGCTCCGACTTGCTGATGATGATAGTTGACGTGCCATGTGGCATATTGAGATATAACTTCAGATATGTGTTCGGACTACTGATTATTGAGGTGGCAACTGAGGAGGGAGCCCGAAGCAGGAGTGGGCATTGTTTACTTCTCCCCTCTAAGTCTATTCTCCCCTCTCTCTTTCGTCTGTGTATGCTTCCCCATCTCATTCTATCTGAACACGATTATGATTATTGACAATCATCAGCAGGTCGATATCCATCTGTCTTCACGATCTCGGTTCATTGCAACTACTTGCAAGCCATGGAGCAGCTCACACCAGTTCTCCTCGAGAGGAGTTTTAGTCGAGATCATCCACCTCACCACTAGAGAAGTTTGATGGGAATCATGAAATGGCGAATCTGACGTTGACCACCACGTGGCAAATGATAAGGCAGTGATGCCATGCTGCTACAAAAGAGGTGTATGTGCATAGGAAAGTCAATTGCTTGTAGACAAGGAGCAATCGCATCGCTTGCGAATCGAAAAAGTCAGTAGCTGCATGTGAGCTGTATGGCGGATAAGAACGCGTAGGAAATGGTCTGAACGCTTAAAAGGTAAGTTAACATTATGCACACTGCACATGAACGTGTGCTAGGACGAATCATGAGAAGCGTAGCCTGCATGGGGTTTTTGCGGACGAGAGAGGCTTCTCGCATGCGTGCACCTACGCGATGCCGCTGTCTCCGTCAGGGTGACTGCTCCCCCCCATGATGGATGCGGCTACTGTAATTAGCCCAGTCATGTCAATCAATCATGTCGCCAAATAGCAATGTCGTGCAATGTCGTGAGGTAATCATTCCAGTTAGTCCATCAATTCGAAGTCATTGAAGTACATCATCCTTCATTACCATGTGTAAAGTCTCCAAGTCAAGAGTGTCCAGACTAGAAAAAAGAGGGGGAAGGAAAGAGAGATGGAAGGAGAAGAATCGTAGCAATCAAGTCCCTCTTCTCCTGCAGGCTTCCCACCCCTGCCACGTCAGCAATCTGTACACAGTATGACAGGTGGATGTTGTAAATGCAGCCCCTCGCAGATGAGCGATCCTTCAGCAAAGAGCAGAATCAGCAGCAGCATCACATCAGGTGAGACCAGGTTCGCACACACAACATCACACCTCGCCAACACTCTCTCTCTCTCCTCACTACCTCACCGTCGTCTATGGATGCAGCAATGGCTGCCCTCTCTCTCCTCTCCTACTATTGGCTGGCGCCCACGAAACAGCCTGGTGCTAACGTCCTCCTCTCAAGTCTCACGTGCAGCATTGAAGCCGAAAGCAACTCACGAGACTGAATGTGGCATACTGCGCAGCCACACGGGCCTGCAGGGCCCGACTGGACGGAAATAAGGGCCCTACAGGCCCTATGTCGTTTCAGCCTGAAAGCATGAAAACGAGGGCCATTTGCAGGCCCTCATAAAGTCGACCTGCCCTGAAACTCAGGCGCCACACTAGGGTTTAGCACAGGGCATTTTTGGGCCTATTTCAAGATAACCTTTGTTTGAACTTCAACGCCAGGGTCTGGCACGTTTCGGCATTGGCAAGAGCAGCCTCCCGGACGACCAGCACTATATAGAACTGGCCCGCCCTGCAGGCTGCAGGTAGTTCACGGGGACTTCCCAGGCAGTTCACAGGCACTTCACGTGCAGGAGGCAGGAGGCAGTCTTCAGGATTCGGCAGCAGCACTCTGGAGGAGCGTTGCAGTAGTAGTACTAGCGTTAGGAGTAGTCTTCAGCGCTGGGAGCTATAAGGAGCTAGAGTAGCATTGGAGAGAGAGAGATGGTTGGCGGAGGCCAGGGAGACTTTCCTGTGGCGCCATAGCTCCAGCTTCGTCTTCGATGTACCTGCAACAAGGTGCCACCTTCACAGGTTAGTACCGGACTAAGAGAGAGAGAGAGAGAGAGAGAGAGAGAGAGAGAGAGAGAGAGAGAGAGAGAGAGAGAGAGAGAGAGTTCTTCTTCTTCCTCTTCTAAGTCCACCATCTCTCCCTCACCGTCTCGTCACTTGACTTCTCAGTATGTGCATACTACGAGGGAGAGAGAGAGACTGGTGACTTTGGGACTTGACGACATCTGGATTCAGACTCGACATTGGGATTGAGACATTGGACGAGGTATTTGGGACCTATAACGAAGACTTGGTGTTGACGACATTCCCATCTTCCCCTCTTCTTCATCTAACCCCCCTCCTCTTCGCCTATGTATGTGTGGGACTGGCGCCTTCTTCCCGTGTGAGCTCCAGGTCCCTTCACACCATGCGATGATGATGATGTATGTTTGGTCTGCATTGCGACATTGATTGGTCGGATCATTGGTATATTAGCCTTCTGTTGCGCTATCTTGTCCTATGTGCGAGAGGTCGGTTCTTGTTCTGGTCTGCACCTTTATAGTATGCGACACTGAATATCAAAGCAGTGGCGAGGTCAACTCTATATAGTGTTGACTCGCGTTGACCAAGGTCAACTTTTGTCTGTGTGAGGGCCCGGATCGTCCAAATGTCGACGACTCAGATGCAATTTGTCCCAGTTTCGGTATGGACTTCTTGAGGCCTGAATCTTCCGGCACCTGCAGACCACCGTTAGATCATTCCAGGTCGACGGCCAGGAATTCTTATGTGTCGACTTTCACTTCTTGGATTTGGGCCTGGGTCCACGAGTTGACTGTTGACACCTCTTCCTAGGGCCTGTTTGGCCTTGGTTTTAGGCCTGCCCGTTGTCGCACTTTTCCTAGTCCGGCCTCTTTGGGTGACCAGAAAGCCAACAGGCTGTCACGCAGGATGTTGTTGTTGATTGCAATAAATCAATTAAATTAAGTAATGCAAATCCCTTCCTGTTGGGTGCGTCCGACTTCGAGCGAGACCCTTCAATTGCGGTCTTCGCCGGTCCCCGGTCTTAGGGATCTTTTATTTTGATTAAGAACAGTAAAGAATAGTCAGCAAGAAAAACATAGTCAGCAAGAAAAACAAGATGCCAATTTAGGGAGTTGAGAACTGTGACATAGTCAGCAAGAAAAACAATCATCAAGCAATGCCAGACGAGAAGATCAAGACTGACTGACTCAAGACAAAAGCAAGATGAGGGAAGAATGAGAACTCATAATAGCCTCAGGGAGTACACAAGGAAAGGAGCATGACCAACACCAATCGAGAGTCCTCACTCATCCCTCTGAATCTCACACTCGGTCTCTCATTTGGATGTCTGTCGTTTGGGCTTTTTGCCATGTCTCCGTATTCTCTGAGGTCGTGGCCTCTGTATGTAGAGCCACCTGAAGCCTGCAAGCTCCGAACATTTCCATCGAAGGTACATGACCTGAAAGTCAATCATGGAGCAAAACTCTTTCCATAATGTAGGTAGATAGGGTTTGGAGAAGATTCCCCGTCTGAGATGCTCAAACTCTGAGGGCTCTGTCAAAGCCTGATAGTCAATCTGCGCTGGCGATATATACCTCTTTGCCAAGTCTATCAAGTCGCCCCAGCAAGAACCATCAGTCAGAGTAAAAGGTACTGGAGGCCTAGGATAGTCTGAGAAGAGGTTTGGTCCGAAGCTGCGGATCAGCTTGGTACCGCTCTCGTCGAGCTCTCTCTCTCTCTCTTCCAGGTACCCGGTTGCTGTGACCCAGACCGAATCGAAGTGCTCATGTGTCTCTTTCCCCTTCTTTACATAAAGTCCCAGGTCATGAATGGTACCTCCCGCAAAACTGGCGAGGACAGCGAAGATTGACAGATATCCTTGTCTGAAATAGACTGCACTTACATACTGGTACTGAATTGCAGCCTTGAGTGCGATCCGGTTGAGATTGGTTAGAACCGCCCCCTCAACTGGAGAGAACTGAACTGTACTCATGAGAATGACGATAGTTTGTCGTAATCTTATAGTTTCGGTGATTCACCTGTCCGTTTTAATGACGTGACTATCCGGGTTGCTGTTCGTGTTCTGTTAATGTGTTGTATATCTGATTATGACCAGTTCCTCACTCAGCTCTCAATGGTAAGGTGTAGTCCGCCTGGTTGTTTCTTTCGCGTGCTTCCTCTTAGAATGAATGACTAGACCCCCTTTTCACTGTTCACCAACAATAACCCTCCTTGCATGCTCAATAGAACTTGCGGCTGAGAGAGTGGTGTGCAGTTTTCCATCTGATCCATAAATGTAGAAAGTATACTCAATATTCTGATCTCCTGCTAGTTCTAGTGCTAGCTTCATCATATGTTTGAGGTAAGAGCGGGCATCTTGGATGACTTTCTCCTCCCAGCCTTCTGCCCTATCCCGGTGTAGCGTGCAATTCACACTCAACACATTCTCACTTCCCATTTCCCTACAGAACCCCGTAGTGTTGAAGGAGTTCGGGCTCTGCTTACTCGAATAACGGATTTCTCCCTTGACTTCTGGTGCTTTCTCACTTATCTGACTGTTTCAATTGATAGGCCCGTAGCAAGTTACTAGGCTGGTCAAATTCAGGTAAATCGCGCTGCCTGTTCGTTTGCGGTTCGTCCTTTGGTGACACTGAACGTTTTCTTTTTCCGGACCCTTGAACATTTGGTGATAGAGTCTGCTTCAAATCTCACACTGCATGCTCAACACCTGGTTTAAAGGTTTTCCCCAACCAGATAGACTTATTAGTCTAAACCTCAGTTAATGTTGACCGTCCACTTTCAATCTGTAAAGGGCGAGGTCTATTCTGATATTGGCAGATTACACGCCCATTAGAGATAGAGAGTCCATGTTTTGCTTAGTCCTTGTCTCACCTTTGCACTGAGTATGACCTGGAATCTGCAATCCAGCGATTTGCCCTTGAGTCAAGCGGTACTAACAGTTTGCTTCCGTTTTCTTAGTATGAAATTCCCCAGGCACTATCACTTGAATATAGCTTACTTCATGGGTGTGGAGTCCCAGGGCGAAGGGAAGGTCACTTTCTGCAAAGCCAGTCCATTCTCGGTGCTATATGTCGTCGAATGAGACACACTAGTGCCTGACGTGATGATTTTGAGTACAGGGAACAGAGTCTATATGTACTGTAGAATCAACGTACTAAACTGCACCTGTACCCGACGGAAAGGAAACTCAGGACACAGTACTCGGCTTTTTAATCAATCTAATAGCTTCGGGTATAGGACGAATTGTTTTTTTTTTTTATCAAGAAAATAGGCCAAGATTCAGCTATGAGGCGCAATGATTACTCAGTAAGACGTGTGTATTCCATCTAGGCCTTATTCATGACCGGCTCGGCATGCATGCCAGCTGGGGTAAATTGGGAATGATTTCACTCCGAGTTTTGTAAGAGCATTACTGTAATATACCCTGACACCTACACTCTGAACACTACTTCAACCCGTGTAAGACTTGGGGCAACACAGTCGCTAACCCCTCTGCACGAGCTATTCAGGGCACAAATAGATCACTCCACTGTTCGCGTGCAGAATGGTGAGGTCTTGTGAACATGATCAGGGTGTCTCACGTTCAGTACAGAAGTTCCGAGTTTTAGCATTCACTGCTGAATGAAGGGATTCTCGACGTTGAGCACCGAATCACATGCCCCTAGGCTTGACGTCTGAGCTCAGCAATTAAGTGTTTCCTCGTTTGTAAGCAATCCGAAAACTTGTGTACATATAAATATGTATATACTTTGTGGAGTCTGGCTCGCAACAGGTTGCGTTTACAAGGCTGATTCAGACATCAGTTAGAGTCCTGCTCACTGATCACCCGATTCACCCATAGCCCTGTTTTCTCACAGTATATCCCGATTCCCCTCTAACACCTTTGGACCCACTCGAGATGACAGTCTTCAGTATGGCTTCTTTTACTGGCACTGCTGCGTGATATATCCTCAGTGGCGGGATTGAGGACTCTCTCTCTCTCTCTATATATATATATACAGACTGTTGAGGGTTCAGCCTCCTGATGAGTCGGTGAAACTCCGACGAAACAGTTTGTCACAGCCCCTCGTTTGTTGTCCTCTTCTCCCTCTCTGCCTACGGTTTACCGGGCAGTTCTATTTGACGATATATATATATTTAACTCTCAATCTCTCTATTTCATCATCGGAAAGAGCCAAGCAACAAGAAGAAAACTGATTCCACGGCGCGGTCCATTGT